CTCAGGGGGGGGGGCCCCAGGGTCAGGGTGGCCACTGCCACGAAATCTACCAGCAACAATGGGCACAGGTCGACAGCAGTGAGAGCACAAATGGAAGAACCAAGAGGCTCCACGTTCGCGATTTCAGACAGATTGTGCCAGACTTGGGCGGGCGGGGAGCTCTCATCGCGCTGTGCCAAGACCGTCCTGGAAGTCTCTGGGGAGGGGGGAGTGCTAAATAGATGCGGGCCCATCAGGCGCTCGCCAATTAGCGGTAACCTTTCACTGTGGTCCCGGGCCCGTGGTCCCAGGGGACCAGCTCCCATCACCTGGGTGACTCAGCCTCGCCCTGGCCTCTCTGCAGAGCTTTTACCACTGCCCACCCGCCCTCTCCAGCAGCCAAGTGCCAGCAACAGCACCGGCACCAGGCTCTTTGTGTGTGGAGGCGCAGAGAATAACAGGCAGGAGGCCACCAGGAGGTGGCAGGGCTGCTGGAGCAAGGTGGCGTGGGCCCCTGGGCCTCTTATCAGACTGGCATGAATGCTGTCAGCTGGCCCCGACAAGGTGTGCCAGGATCAAGATGGGCCTTCAATACAAACACCTGCTGGGCCGATGCCGGCCCTAACCCCCAGCAGCAGAGGGAGGGCGCATGGGAACTGCAGAGTATGAGGCTGGGGGCAAGGCTGGGGCCTGGCAGGGAACAGTTCCTGATTCCCAGGGCAGGGGATGCACGCAGACTTGGAGACTCCAGGCTCCCATCCATCAGCTCCCTAGGTAGGCTTCAAGGGCTTGTGGGGGGAGGGGGTGGGGCCCAAAGATCAGAGCAAGCAGTGTGCAGAGGACTTGAGGAAAGGAATAGGGCCTCTCTCTCAAAGTGCTAAAAAGATGCATTTCCAAGATAATTCTTCCCCAGAGGACCCACACACAAGCAGGTCAGCCTGTGAGGGGATGGGCCTCAGCTTTCCCTTCACAGCTGTCTCTCAGTCACCTAGAACCATGTCCCACACACAGTAAGTGCTCAATAAATAATGAGGGGCTGATTGTTGGCTGTAAGTGGCAGCTGGTCAGGGCAGTTTAGACCACTCTGCCCCAGTTTGAAACCCGCCCTGTTGTTTCAGAGGCTGTGTGGCCCTGAGCAGTGATTTTGCTTCTCGGAGCCTTGGGTTGTTTATCTACGAGACAGAGAAAACAGAAGCGCCTCTCCCATGAGCTACTGTGGAGAATAAAGGAGACGGGCGTGTAGCACCTAGCACGAGCCCGGCACCCGGGGACTGCTCGATAAATACTGTGTAAGGAGTGCTGAGCAGTTTGCCAAGACCCTCCCCGCCAACTAAGAGAAAGCAAAAAAGCTAAACACCCTGACCACCCCGGGAGGCGGTCCTGGGCTGCAGTCCCACGGGGCAGCCTGCCTGTGCGAGGTAGCTGGGAAGTGGAGGAGCTGGCCTAGGGCCTCGGACTTCTGCTTCGCAGTCTGAGAATAACCTGTGCGGGTGGGACACTTGCTCCTGCTGCACTGTGGCCACAGACAGCTGTGGTTTTATCCAGTGGCTTTTCCAAGACAGGCGGAAAGGGGAGCCTCTACAGAGAGCAGATGGGGGAGGACGTGCATCTGGGAGGTGGGATAAACTCAGCGGGCAGTGTCCCTGCATGGTGACCCTGGGTGGTGACCTTGCCAGCTCAGTACGGGCCCTCTTGCCAAGGGCTTCCTGCCTGGCCACGATCCACTTCAATGGGGACTTCTCAGATAGTATGTACCGTGTGTGTGTGTGTGTGTGCATGTGTATTTGTGTGTGTGTTTGTGTGTGCATGTGTGTGTGTGCGCATGTGTGTGTGTGCGTGCGTGTGTAGCAGGAGCTGCTTGCTGGTCTGCTTCCTTGCTGTGAGACTGTGGGCAAACTTTTCAACCTCCCTGAGCTTCCCTTGTGAGACGAGCTGTAAAATTTGGTGACTTTTCTGGTTTTCAACTCTCTAACAAGTTACTTTTCCCTCTTTCTTGGAGGTACCCCAGCCTCCTTTGAAGTTTTAGGCCACCTGAAAAGGCTCACTAGTAGCTAGCTTGTTGATTAGCATTTGGGGGCTCTTCAGATGACATCTGTGACAGAGTGGGATGGGACAAATGCCATGAGATGTCAGTGATAACAGAGTTCTAACCAGAGGGTCGTGTGGACATAAACAAAACCGAACCTTGAGAATGAATATAGCAGGTTCCTGTTTCTTGGGTGGTGGTTATACAGGTATGTTCAGTTTTATTTATAAAGTCATTAAACTGAACACTTGTAATTGGTGTAGTTTTCTGCATGTCTATGAAACTTTACATTTTCTTAAGGTTTTTGCCATAGGACACATGCGTTTAAGAGCGAGAGAGAGAAAGAGAGAGAAAATGAGAAATCACCCCCCAGGAGGGATGGCCACATCACAATCCCTTCTCCTCCATTCTCCTCGGGACTTTGGGCTTACGTGCACACATGCCTGGTATTGTTTTCTTTTTTCTTTTCTTTTCTTTTTAGGTTTTTACATGGGGCCCATGAGCTCGCTGGTTTTTCAAGGTGCTGTGTCTGGGACAAACTGTGTAACTGGTCACATGGGATCTAACGCCTTAATCTTCACACCTGCTGGCCTGGCCCTAAAATGTTCATTTTTTGAAAAGTATAATGGGGTAGTTCAACAACATTTTGATCATCTAAATCCAGAGGTATAATGATGGGCTTAGCTGCTTAAATGAAAACAGGCTTTCTTGCTCATAACAGATATTTCTAGGAATGAAGGAGATAAAACCTGGTGGGAAGGAATGGAGACAGAAAACAATCCAGAGAAGAGATAATATTTTAGAGAGGTGAGGTGGAAAGTGTCCCTAACCAGCTCAATGACCCTGGGCAGGTCACTTTACTTCTGTATCTTTTGAAACTTAGTTTCCTGGGGCCAGCAGGTAGCATGGTGGTTAAGGCACTAGACTCCCACATGGCCCACTGCAGTTCAAGTCTCGGGCTCAGTGGCTTGAAAATCACACTGAGTGTTGGAGCATGCATGTGTGTGCATGCTCAGAATCCCAAAGGAAGAGAATGAAGGAGAAGGGATTATGGGGTGGCCATCTCCCCAAGGCGTGATTTCTCACTTTCCCTCTCTGTCTCTTTCTGCGGAATGTACACAGCCCATGGAAAGGACTTATTAAAAAGAGAAACGTAGTTTCCTCACTTGCAGAATGGGCCTAAAACATCCTAGTTGGATGTTTGGTAAACGTTCACCTCTTCCCTTTAGACACGCTGATTTAGGATATGTGGTGTTTAGGAATCTGTTCTTATCTCCTGTTTCTAATCCATTCAGGTCACGAATAGGTCCTCCAAGGTAACATCCACCATCAGAGGAGATGCATAATTTCTGAATATACTAAAACTGCCCCACAAACTTGAAATTACTTTTTTTAAAGTCAAAAATGTAACCAGTGACCCAGATAAAACCGTGAAACATACTGTCCAGTGACCTGCCCCGGCATCCCACCTCCATTCTTAGGCAAACTCGAGTCAACAACAGCTTTGCACCTGGTCCAGTGTGAACACAAAATTATCCTAGAGAAACTCTTCAGGGGAGCACTTTTCAATAGTTCCCTCTTTAAAAGTGAATCATTGTGACCTGATGTTCAAACGAGCGGCCTGTAATCCGCCTACCTCCACGGCAGAGATGTACACAGGAAAAGAGACAGCCTGAAGCAACCAGATCTCAGACCACACGAGGCCTGCAGAGCCACACCTCGAACTATTCCGGCGAGCGGTGGCCACCTGGACACTGTGTGTGTGCTACCCCCAAAGGGAAGAGCTTTCAAGGAGAACTATGGGAGGACAGTCACACCGGGCTCCAACAGCAGTCACGTGCCGCAGACATCTCTGCCCTGCCCTGCATCCACACGGGTAATAACCTTCGTGCTAAACGTGCAGGCAAGGCGAGGCTTCCCTAGCTGAGAACCCAGACACAGTGCTACAAGGCAAGAGCTGCTAATTAAGGGAGGAGAAAGCACCTTCCCCGTGGCCTTGGGATGCCCTGCCAACCCTCTTCTGCCCAGTACCCAAATTAGCTTAATCGAATCCATTGCCCTAAGCGAGATGGGTGCTGGATTGACAAAGGAGGTTCACTTCATTTATAGGCTGGGTCAGGAAGAGACCTGGGGTCTCCTGACTGTCATAGTTTCCCAGAAACACCAGCGGGAGTGAAGGGAAGGAACCCTGCAGCATCCCATGGGAAAAGCCATGAAAACCACACAGTCAGTTGTGCAGGGTTGGCCTCAGGGGCCTCCCCGCGTGGGTAAGATTGCCATGGTAACACACTCTAGCCACTGGAACCATCCAACTCAACACGGCCAGCCAGACCTAGGCCAACCAAACTAGACCTGGCAATCATTTTAAAAATGTATGGAGCTACTGGCTTTCACAGACATCGCCAACTCCCTACAAACCAGCCACATGAGTTCTAAACTAGGAGCCAGAGTGCAGATCATTGAGGGAGCTTCCAAATGTCTAAACACTGCTGGTATTCAAAAATATCCCACGGGGTGGTCCTTCAAGTGTGGCTCCTAGGCCAGCAGCATCCGTATCACTTTGGAACTTGCTAGAAAGGCAGAATCTCAGGTTCCACCCCAGGACCTACCAAAGTTGATGCTCTGGAGCATTGAATGGGTCCCCTCGATGATGCTGACACAAGACAGATTTTGAGAGCTCCTGCTGAGAACGCCTCCATGCTGGCGACAGGGAGGTAGCTAGTAAGATACCTAGCATTTGCTCATTACACGCACATGCTTTCGCTTCCAGGCCTAACAGAGTAACACTGCCTTCTCCAATGAAGGCTAGTTTCCCTAAAGGTGAAAACAAAAGAATCTTACTGGACAACATCAGTAAACATTTAAAACATCTGCCCAGGGATTGCGGGTGGATTATGAAGAGAAAGAACAGGAACGCTCAGCATCTTGACATAGGCTCTTCTAGTCCTCCCTGGCAAAGTTAATTAATACAGAAGCAGGTCATCTTTTGGCAGGTCTTTTCGGGCTTCCTAAGTTTTCTGAAATGACCTGAATGCTCAGCAAGAGATCGCGATCACTACGTCCAGGCTGCAAGGCCTATAGCGGGGACCAGCATGTCTTACCAGGTCAAAGATAGACTCCTGTGGGGGCCATCCCGTAAGCTGATATCAGAGTCATCCTTCAGGTGAACTGAATCTGCCTGAATTGTGCCTGTCTTCCCCACCTAAGTCAATTCGATGGATCCCTCTTCTAAAAGGCAGGTGAAGTCCAATTTTTTAAAAAATGACTTTTGCCATAGGGCACGTGTGCTTGTGGAAAGAAACAATGGAAGGTAAAGTGAGAAATCAACCCCCTGGGAGGATGGCCAAGCCACAATTCCTCTTCTCCATTTTCCTCCTGGGATCTGGGGCACACATGTACATGAACCCGGTGTGATTTTCCAGCTGCCAGACTCAGGACTCGAACCGCAGTCTGCCATGTAGGAGTCCAGCACCTTCACCACCACACCACTTGCTGGTCCCAAGTCCCATTGTAAATAGACTGCAGTTCTCTCCTCTCCATCGGAACCTCAAAGTCAGTTATGGGTGATAAGTTATACACTTATCAAGGTGGGATCACTGTTCTAGGCCACCAGGGTGCCATTTAAGGTGCCATCATCACTCTATTAGCGGGGCATGCCTTCCAGCAGTGAGGAGGCCATGGCTGAGAGGATGCAGCTAAAGAGCCGAGAGGTTTCTCAAATGGGTTCCTCCTAGGGTAGAGGGGGAAACCACAGAGAAAATCCTGAGGCTATGCCCTTTTGGTGCATTTCAGATCCAGCTCTTGACAAGGTGTTAAACCCAACACAATGGCCATTAGAGGAGAAAATCAGCTGGCAGAGCCCACCCCAAGAGAAACAAACCCACAGGCTACCACTTGTGTGGGAGCCCAGGACTTTGGGGGGTTGACTGTATAAGCAAATGGGAGGATGATGCTCCATCCCGCCCAGGCTGGCAGCAAAGTGGCTGAGATTACAGGCCAGAGTTCTCTGCCCATACCATCAGAATACTGCCCTGCGCTTCTGTGGCCTGGGCTGTGCCTCCTGTCTCCCAAGCCCCACTTTAATAAATTCAGTCAGGACTGGGGTTTGGGGAGTTTGGGGAAGGAGAGGTTGTGTGAAGTCTCATTCCTCCTTCTGATGGAGCTGAAAGAACTGAGGGGGAGGAGTCAGCCCCCTGCAAAGGGGCCCCAGAGGGAAAGGAAAGAGGTAGAGAGGAAATTTTAAAACCACACAAAACTGAGAGCACACACACACCAAAGACAACCAGAATGAAGATCATCGCCTAGACATCCGGAAATTCGCTCCTCAGGATCCGCGAGAAGCTGGTCATAATTGTAAAAGGCAATCAGATCATTGAGGTATTACTTAAATAGGGCAAAGACAGTTTTAATTTCTCCCAGTTATGAGTACTACCTATTGTGGATTGAAAAATCAAATCAAACCAAAAAAAAAAAAAGGAGGGTGGTCTCCCAAATAAAAATGCACATGAGAATTTTAGGACCTACAGCTCCATCCAGCCCTCCAGAGCTGGCTGGGCAGAGGAAGGAGACACCCCTCCCCCACCCACATAAATAAATAAATACATAAACAAGGCGCCGCGGACCCGACGTAGCACCTGCCTCTTCTCCACCCTTGTGCACAATCTCCAACTGCTAGTGCGGAGCTGCTGCCACCACCGAGTCGCACCTGCCATCTGGAACGGGCCTCACATATTCCAAGACCTCCTTTCTGCTTCGCTGAACCTCCATCTTCTTTCAAATCACGCCGGGACCAAAACGCACACCCCGGGCCACAGAGAAAGGTGCCTGGGATGAGCCCCCAAACAACAGCCCAACCTTTGAGGGATGCTATATCCTTCAGAGTTCCAAACAGTTCTTTTTTCTTTCGGCTTCCCTTTTTCTCCCTCTCCCCCCCTCTCCGTTTTGTTATCTTTGGGATATCTGGAAAGGGTGTGGGTTGGAAGGAGTGGGAAGAGAAAGGGGCGCAGTGGGCCAAGGTGTGCCTCAGAAGGAAAGGGGCTGGAGAAATGCAATTCCTGATGACAATGACCCCGTGTAACAGACGGAAGAAGGAAAGCTCTCTCCAGCGTTCTTCGCAGATAGGACAAGCCCAGGGTGCCAAGGGGACCAGGAGGGTGCTCTAGAGGGGAAGGCACAGGCCTGAGGACTCTCTGAGCCTGACCTGGGCAAGGGTTGTCCTGCCTGGCCCTCTAGTGTCATCCTGAGAAGGGGTAATACACTACAGTGGCAGGGCAGCTGTGGGAACCCAAACGATGCGCAAACAGCGCCTGCCCTAGGCAAAGCACCCATAAACGACCGCTGTCAATGCTACTCCCGGAAGGGCGCGCTCCAGGTCCCTGGGGACCCGCCTCTGCGGGCGCCGTGGCCTAGGACAGGGAATCCGGGGTCGCTGAAGAAGGGGGTTCTAGGCAGAAGGGGGCGGCCCTGAGCCAGGCAGGCCCCGCAGGCGGGTCCCTCCGGGGCGGAGGCGGGCGGCCCGGACGCACTAACGAGCGGGGGCCCCAGGTGCGGGCCCCACCCGGGGCTGGGGGAAGAGGAGGGGCCTCCGGGGGAGG